AGGTTCCCCATTGACTTGTGAGAAGCTGACAGGGCTTATTGAAAATAAAGATCATGTGTATGGCTCACCAAGGCAGCACAGCAACAGTGCTGAACAGCACAGTGCAGTAGCACTGAAGCAGCAAAAAATCCCCAAATTTCATTCCCTCCGGAGTAATGGGTCTTGCCATTGTGAATATGCGGTACTTGAAGGTTCTTCCCCTAGAGTACTTTGCCCAACTTTGAAGTTACGAAGTATCAAACAGACACAACAGTTTTAGTAGTATTTAGATATAACTGATCCCAAGATTACTGTTATTCAACAATATAAAAAAAGAGGGATGCTAGGATTTGCCTTTTACTTTTTCTATCTCTGAAATCATAGTTAGAGATATTTAGATCAATTCTGTTAGGATACAAAATGTTGTAAAATAAAAAGCTCTTAGAAGCATGTTACTATAAATTGAAACAGTATGCTTTATGCTATAAATCATGAAGCCTGCCATGCTAATGAAAAAGCAATTGACCTCAGTAGCCACACTAATTAGATGAGATAAGATAATAAAATGCTTCTCAGTATGTAATCACAATGATGATAAGTGTGTCACAACTTTTCCGTCACCACAAGTACTCTGAGAAGTCAGAATCAATTTAACTAGAAATCTAAGAAATGGATGTGGGCCAGCATCCAAATAAACAAAATATACTTTAATAAGAGGGAACTACAATTGCAGCAAGAACTGTGTGCATTCTAACACACAATTACCATATATAATTGCAGCACAGATATTTCAACAGATATGAAAAACCAACAATAGCCAATATGAATGGATATTTATCTGCTAAACAGAAATACACACCAGCATTCAGTCTCATATAGAGATTAAAATATATTACTACAAAGCATATACCAGCTCGGGAAATCCACTATTCGTATTTCTACTTGCTTATTTCCCTGAACTATATAAGTAAAAAGGAGAAATTCTGATCTCACTTTTCACCAATATATTTCAGGAATGTGTAGAAGTTCCTCACAGAAAACAGTAGTTGGACTTTCAGTCACCATGGATGGAAACTTATCAAGGAGAGAACCAACCTACAACTAAGGAGAAATTGTTCCTGACATTTAAAACAATTAATCAGTGGAACGACGCCTCCAGAAGCTGTGGGTGCTCCAACACTGTAGGTTTTAAAAATGAGATTGGACAACTATTTGTCTGAAATGGTATAAGGTTTCCTGCTTGTGCGAGGGACGGGGCAGGTTGGACTAGAAGACTTCCAAGATCCCTTCCAACTCTGTTATTGTGTTACTCTCTGTAGTAGTGAGAAGACATGACCAAAGAAATCTCTTTTCTATTCTCCAAGAGTACAGGAACCCTCCTTCAATCTTAGCTTTGACTTCCCAGAGAAGAATTGTGGGCCTGGGAGGTTCAAAGAGAATACTTCCTCAAAATTCCTCCTTCTGCACTGTAAACAACTACATGTATGCTCCTCCAGCACCCATAACAAATATTGTTAGCATAGGAAGGGTAAAGGAGAAGTCCAAAAAGCAATTTTTGATGGACACCAGCAAGGGCACTCCTGTAAGTTTCATGGTATGACAGAATGTCTTGGGGAGGTTGTAAAAATTCTATTACATTACTCTATTAGCAATAAAGATTTTCTAGAACTAAAACGTTCTGGTTTCCTAAGTTTGCTAGCCACGCAAGGCTTGACATTAATCTTGAAAATCCTCAAAGTAACTCTGCACAATTTAAAGCTACTGTGATTAAAGCAGAGTTTCTCTGACTCCCATTTTCTTCCTTTCCCCCTCACTAGACAGTCAAGAATCACTTCTGGAATTGTCCTTTTTCTCCCATGAAGTGTCCTGCTGCCTCCACTGGGTTCCCAAGGTCTAACAGACTTCACACTCGAAATGGCAACAAAGGCCCAGAGACAGTAGCTGAGTTACAGTAGCTAGCTTCTCATTTGGTTTTCCTCCAGCAAAATTAAGGGCCTGTGCATGCCACCATCCATTTCATACATAGACGTATGTGTTCTGAAGCACTTCTTTTGAAAGATTAGCATAACCCTACTACATTGGTCAGGAAAATCTCTTGCCAGATTTTCTTTAGGAAAACTAAGAACATTTCCTTAGGATCAGTGGTAGCCTGAGTATGGGAAATGCTATTTCCTGAAAAATTAACACTACCACAAAAACTCTTGAGCTGTCTTTTACTTAAATATTGTTTACTCATGCTATTTAGTTACACCACTAAAGTAATTCCTAATAGTTTGTCTATTAATGACAGCATATATCATTTAATCAGATATACTTGGGCAATTAAAAGTGTCTCAGCTTTTCTAGCAATTAAAGTGGCTAGAACTTGTTATAAATGTTTGCAAGATCCTCTTATAGCAAATTAACAGAGATCATTAAAGTCATATATATTTCTGTACAGGTAGACCTCAGCTTATGACCACAACTGAGCCCAAACTTTCTGTTGTTAAGTGGGACACTTGTTAAGTGAGTTTTGCCCCATTTTGCAACTTTTCCTCCCACAGTTGTTAAGTGAACCACTGCAGTTGATAAGTTACTAACCCGATTGTTAAGTCAATATGGCTATCCCATTGCCTTTGCTTGTTAGAAGGATGCAAAAAGTGATCACATGGCCCCGTGACACAGCAATGGTCATAAGTATAAACCAACTGTCAAGCATCTGAATTTTGATCACATGATCGTGGGGATGCTGCAAAGGTCGTAACTCTGAAAAATGGTCATATATGACTTTTTTCAGTGCCATTGTCACTTTGGCCACTAAATGAACTGAGAATTCAGGAGAGTGAAGAACAGCAGAAAAAAAGGATGTATTCCTAAAGGGCAAAGACAAAGTGCTCACTACTGCAGGAAACATATTCTACTTTATTCTGTTTCGGTGAGTTGCCATCTCGACTTTTGCTTCAAAAAAGATTCAGAGAAACTGGAAGAGGTTAAGAGAAGGACTATGAAAAACGACTGAAGAAACTATGTATGTTTAGGTTTAAGAAAACATGACTCAAAATAGAACATATAGGAACTCTTCAAATACTGGAATAGAAAGCAAAGATCTGTTCTCTCTTGTCCTAGAATGCAGGAAAAATACTATATATTGCATATTATATATATCATATATCATATCAATATAAATTTTTAAAAGAAAGTAAAAACTAATGCAAACTAATACAGATTAAAGAAACAGAGAGAGAGAGAGCAGAAAGAAAAGACAGAAATAGGAAAAAGAGGCTTCAGATTTTCTCTGTGACAAATACAGGTATGATTACAAAGCTATCTCTTACTCCATGATTGTAAAAAAGCTCACTTTTTCTGTTATCTATTTTTTCTAATTATTAAAACATGAGTTGTAAGTATATTTTTTCTCATGCAAAAAAGTCTATAAATGGTTTCCCATCAGCCATACATGCAGATATTGTCTTTTTTTCTAATCAGGGAAGTCAATTTAGCCATTTGTGCAAGTTCCATCATCTTCACCAGCCATTCTTTTATTGGGAGTAGTGTTGAACCTTACCACTTTTGAGAATGTAGTAATATCACTGCAGTTGTCATACATACCTAAAAATAAAATTCAATGGCTTTTTCCTAGCTATCTCTCTCTTCTTTCCCAAAAGAAAAGCTTTTGGTTTCAATTGTGACAGATAAATAACTTGAATTAGCTGAGGAAAAACTCCATTTAGACCTTGAGATGAATTGTCACAAGAACAAATGGGGATTGGCTCTACAAACTATTAAAAATACAACACATAGAAAATAGGCAATTTCATTTAATTCAATCAGTGTTAAACTCAGCCAATTCTAAAGATTAAATATGACTAGATAGAGAAAAAGAAGCCCACAACTACAAAAGGCACTGAAACCTTTGGAGGTGATTTCTTCTGTTTCCTCTCTTCCCCCAACTCAACAATTCATTTCCTAAATTTTACTTAATGGCTTAAAAATATTTACAATGTTTTTACTTAACGAAGCAACACATATTTTTGGCCACTAGGCTGTGCTAAAACATAGCTCATCTGATAAAACATTTTGTTTTTTACACTGAAGCAACTTGCAAATCCAAACATTTGCTTGCTTTAAACTGTTAGTTTTGAGACAGATTAGCTAGAAGTCATTTTTCAATGGAAAAAATGAAGAAAAAAATCTGCTTCAGACTCAGGGCCTGGCAGACTCCAAGTAGAATGGTTAGCTCCTAATCTTAAAACCTCTCTTTTTGTTTACAGCACAAAGAAAGTATTTTTCATCAATTTTTAAAAATTCTGTCATAAATTATGTATACAGTGACCTTTTCATTTTGCTACATGTAGAACTGTTTGTTCTTTCTGAGGCAAAGATTCCCATTAAAGAATTATACTTAACTGTGGAAGATTTTATATTTATATCCCTGACAATATTCTGTTTGCAGTTTCTTTAGGCATGTCCAATATGATTTAATTTTCTCACTTTGTTTTTAGAAAATCTGAAGCTGTTTCTCAAAGTCTCTTAAATTTCAGAAGTGGTCTGTCAATGTGTAACAGGAAGTAACATATTCATCCACCTAAATTCACATTATGGTATTTTATACATTAACTAAGAACATCATCTCCTCCTTTGGAACCATCTGTATCACATAAAGAACAGCAACAAAAAATTGTTGTTTTACATATACTTGGAAAACAACATAAGAACAGAAAAGAGTTATGTGTGGTAAGTCTGATTTGTACACAAACATAATTGGAAATATGGAACATGTATCGGTAGAAATCACCACTTAAAAACTCAATACATGTTAACGCATCATTTCCCCTTCTTGCTTTTGATTTGTACTATGAGTCTTTTACTTATTTTGAGGCTACAAAGGTGACCTGGTTTAAAAAAAATCTTACATTTCATCTTACCACACTTAGAGCGGCTTCTCTACTTCTTTCTCTTCAGGTTGTAGGCCATGTAATAAAAATTTACTTGGGCAGCTGAAAAGGAATTAGTATTTACTCTTCTTCAGAATAGGCACTCACCCACAATGCTTCATGTGTGGTGGCTTATCCATTCTCACTGCTAGTTTTATCCTCAGATCAGAATCTTGGCTGTTTTTAGGGACTATCATTTTATGCAGCTCTGTTGACTTTGAGCTATTGGAAGTTGGGTACAACACAACCTGGAAAAGATATAAAGAAATCTGTTTATCAGTCTGACAGATTACAGTAAACTTTACTTGGAAGCTTGGGTTAACGAGAAGTTGTCCGTGCCACCTTTTTCTATTTCCTAAAAATTACATGGGCTCCAAAGAAAATCACAAGCTTCCATTACACTGCAACTCATAGTTTCAGCCAAGACAGGTTCCTTTTCTCAAAAATAGGTCACATAAGAGCTCTGATTCTCCACTGGCCTACTTTAAAAACATAATGAGCATTGAAAGTGAAAAATAGTCCTTCAATGAACCAAGCACTTATAATAAGCATGCTATTCAATATTCCCAGATTTTATGTGCTTTTGCTAACAATGAACATTAGAGAGCACTAAACTATAACTTTTTGCATGGTTGTTTTTTTTTTTTTTTGCTGTCTTGGATTAAATGTTTTAGGATTAAATATCATAAATAAATTAATACTACCTTCATTATTCTAATCAATGCAGCTAATAGAACTATGCTAAAATAATATTTTAGACATAGTTTAAAGTACCTGAGCTTCAATTTCACTGATTAAATTATTCTGTTGTAAATGAAAATAACTCGACTGAAGTTTGTAGAAAAGATAAAAACATGCTATATTTATACAATAATATTATAACACTGTGAACTGCATTGTGATGTCCATGTTTTCTCGGTTGTTTCGCATGTGTATTTCATAATCTGAAAGTTGTAGGAATTGCTAACTCAAACCAAGTTTATTATCTCATTGCCAACATACATTACTTTCCAGTGAATGTTAAATTGCAGCGTCTGAAACAAAATCAGAAAAACCAAAGCAGATAATAAATATGATTGCAGTATTTTTTCACATTAAACATGCCTTTTGTGTGATTGATTCCTTTTATTATCTTAACACAAACAGTTCCATTCACTTGAAACAAAGTAGATATCAATATAATAGCAAAATATCCTGCCTTACCATTAAATGTATTCTTAGAACTATTTAAGTGGTAAAAATAACTTCACTCTTTTTGGTGTCAAGAAACAGTATCAGTTACCACAATGTTACACATATACAGTCTCTGCATATTTTATTAAATATTTTACTAACCTGCTGTATTTTAACAAAATTAAATACCAAAACTGAATTAAAAATACATTTTCATCCATATTTTCTTATAGATAGAATCTGTTTCAGATTTGAAGATTTATCAAAACCCTTTATGTCCTTCTAACAGCCCAGCACTTTCAATTGCCCCAATCACTTGGGATACGAATGACTAAGTTCTAAATTTTCAGTAAGTACTTGTGGCAAGGATGAAATGATATACTAAGATCTTTCTATCTCTCCTCTGTCAAGTAGATTGGAACAATGATAATTTATCTTATGGTATTTTTCCAATTTGAATAGTTATTTTCAAACAATATTTTGAAAGAATCTCTGAAATAGTCATTAAATTCCTTCTTCCTCACATTTCCTCTGAATTCTCTTCTCTGCTAACTACCAGCTATCCCATACTCCTGAATATATCTAACTTACAGCCCTACATATATCCAGCTTGTACTTTCCTGGCAGTGTCAAACATGGATGGAGCTGATGAACATTATATGACTATACTAGTGATCAGTATGCATTTAACTGATGATGATCAGTTAAATGCATACGCTTCCAAAGTTCATGGTTGGCCAGGGAAAACAAAAGGATGGACAAACTTGAAAAATATTTAAACTAAAAAACAAAAGCAAGGAAATGCATACCAACTTAAAGAATCCCAAGTTCTATGATGCAAGAGGTAGAGAAAGGATTATCAGTTATTTTCTTAAAGATTAGCTTCGGCTGCTATTTGAACAACCTACATGAATCAGAACAAACCACTGAAACAGATGGGTATCAGAACATATTATTTCTTAGACGTGAGGGGATAAAATAAAGCTCTCTCAGATTAAGGGGAAGAGAAGTGGTGAACCTTCACTGTTAGATGGGAAAGAAATAGAACAAAAGCCTAATGAGTTGAAGACAAAGCAGCAATTTTATCCTAACAAAAGAAAAACAATAATGATAATTGAAGAATGGCAAATTATTTAAATATGTTCACAAGGCATACCAGCAAGCTATTTTAAGATTATCATTAACAGTTACAGAAAAGAACATCAGCAATATAAAGTATGCACGTGCATGCACCCCCCCCAATGCTAAATTATTTATTGGCTACTTAAGGATTTGACAAGCAGCTTAAAGAAATTAGAGTTTATTTTTTAACTGAATAATCAAAACTAATAAATCTAAGTTTTCTTTTTACTGAAATAGGCTTTGTGCTCAAACAACCCCAGCTGTTCCCACTTCTGTGTTAAGCAAGTACAATGAATGTTCCTTTGAATTAATTTTAAATATCTGGATTTCCAAAGGCCAGAATATGACAGGATGAGGGAGAAGTTCTTTGATGGTACAGAATTTAGTAATCCTAATCCCATCTCAAAAACATATCTTTGGAAGGCAGTTTTCAAAACTCTAAAAATATTTTAGCCAGACGTTGTCATGTTTAGAGGAAACCAATGAAAACAATGGGTCATGTTAATCATGCTTAATTGATATTCCATTAAATTTAATGAGTCTATTCTAAATATGATTAAGTCGGGAACCAATATATGGATCTGCCTCTGATAAATAAACATTTTTATGGGTATAAAGTTATAATATATGTGCATGACAAAGCATGTTCTTGTAGTTATATACCGTCTTTGCCAAATATCAAATTTCTTCTCTCTTCCTACCATTCCCATACAACTCAATATTGCTCTGTCGTAGTAATCTGTGAATACATTGGAAATTACTTATTCTTGTAAGCATCTAACATTCAGGATTCATATCTGATAAACCCAAGACAAGTAAGAATATAGAACAGTGGTGGCGAACCTATGGCACGCATGCCAGAGGTGGCACTCAGAGCCCTCTCTGTGGGCATGCGCGCCATCGTCCCAGCTCCGCCTCCCCCATAGCCCTCTCCTCACCAGCAGCCTCCCGGAAGAGAGTGTGCAGAGCAGCGCAGCCAAGGACATGGCAGCTGGTACAAGACTTCGCCCCCGCACCCCACAGCATCATCTACTGCAGTGGTTCTCAACCTTTTTAATGCTGCAACCCCCAACCGCTCGTAAGTCGAGGACTACTCAATTGCTCGTAAGTCGAGGACTACTCAACTGGTGCAGCACCATTTGCAGAATGGGGCTTTTGGCGGGCTCAGCAGGGCAGAGACAGCCTGGACAATTCCTATTGGCTTTTGAAAGCCAATAGAATTAGACTCTATTCAAGAGAGTCTATTCTATTGGCTTTCAAAAGCCAATAGAATAAAAGGGAATAGCACAGCTAAGGAAAAGGGGGGAAAAATGGCGGACTGCGTTTGTTTGGCGACCCCCATGAAATGGTTGTTCGACCCCAAATGGGGTCCCGACCCACAGGTTGAGAACCACTGATCTACTGTGTGGCCGCCATGGTGCTGCAGGCCCCCCCCTGAGCGATCTGCCGCAGTAGGTGGCCCTGCGGGAGGCATGGATGGGACAGGAAGCAGGGTGGAGTAGGCGGGGCAAGGGGCAGAACAGAGTGGATGGGGCAGGGGCGGAGTGGGTTTTGGGCATTCAGTATCTAAAAGGTTTGCCATCACTGATATAGAACAATCCTGCTGGATCAAGCCAAAGGCATATGAAGTCCAGCATTCTGGGTCACAAATAGCAAGTTGTACTGGTAGACAACAGCCTCTTTCAGTATTGGAATAACCAATACTTAAAAGACACTGCCTATGATTCAGGAAGTAATGAATAGGCATCAATATCCTGGTCCACTTTTAAACAATCAAAATTGGTTGCCTTCCACAATTGAGCTACGTGCTATGAAACCACATAACAGTATTTCTTTCATCCGTTCTGAAACTCCCTGTCTTCCCTGACAAGTTTTATCTTGTGAGTGAAAGAAAAACATTTCTCTGTCTGTGCTGTTTGTGCCATAAATAATTATACATACCTTTGTAAAGTCTCTTTTGCTTTCAAGCTGGAGCTATAATCTTTCCTCATAAGATACTAGACCACCCCTTAATTATGTTGGTCGTTCTGTTTCAAAACCTTTTCCACTTCTAAATGAATTTTCTAAAGGAACTGTGACCAGAACTATACATAATACTCTAAGTGTGATTTCACCATAAATTTGTGTAAGGGCATTATTATATTAGCAGTTCTATTTTCATTTCCTCTACAAACGTTTGCAAGCATAGAATTTTCTGGTTTTGCAGCAGCTACATATAGGTTGACATTTTCATCAAGCCATCTACAATTATTTCTGATCAGTCTCTGTCAGAAAAGATGACATTAATGTCATTGTGGTAGGTTGTTGCTGTTATTTGTACCCTTGAATTGGTGTTGATTTCTAGTGACCTGCCTGGACAAGTCCCTGCAGTTTTCTTGGCAATGTCTTCAGAACTCACTTCTCATTGCTTTCTTTCTACAGTTGAGAGACAGTAATTGTCCTGATGCCACCAAGATGACTTTGTGCAACGATAGCCCACAGTCTCTCTGTTTCTAGACTGTATTTTAACCAAGCTGGCATTTTTCCTTTTACATGAAAGCGATTGAAACTGCCCATCATTATCATTGCAGCCTTTTCAGATGTCTAATTTCATTTGCCATTTTCTAAGTTAATTTTACCTTCTTTGGAGCTAGTTGTCACTAGTAATATTTGTCTTTTTGGGGGGGGAATATATAGACACACACATTGACTCACTGAAACAATTTTTTCCATATATAGGTAATCTGTTATGATACTCTATGCCACTTTCAAGTTACAGGACAATTTTACCCTCAATATACTCTTATCTACAGAGCTTGTATAAGAGATAACTATGCATCAAGAACTCCAACTCCCCCATTTTTACTTAGATCTTTTTTCATTTGACAGAAATACATAATATTTCTTACCAAAAAAGTCACTCTCAGCTATGAGTGATTCTTCTGTATTGGTTATTCCTTGCATTCTGCTGGCT